CCCCAAAACCCCAAAACCCCAAAACCCCTCTAGCATGTTCGAATGTTGACATAGTCGGAAATTAAGGAAATAGTTAAAAACTTCAAATTATGACCTTTATCTTGAAGAGACCTGCCTTTATTGCTTGAAGAAAGGGTTCGAAGACAACTCCATTTGCATCGAAGGAATTTTCCCCATTGGCATTTCTGGCCGAGGTAAAGAATTTTTGGATATACTCTATATAATCAATTTTTAAACTTCACCAGCTCATTTGAGTTTTCTTTCTCCTCTTCAAAATTAGGCTGATCTCTAGAGCTATTTATCGGTGGCAAGATTCCAGAATCCATGCTTGGTCCCTTCCTAATCTCTTCCTGCATTTGTCTAATTCCAGATCCTACCACAAAAGACCTAAAAATAAAAAAATGCAAGCTACTCTGAATTCTTGAGTTGTTCAGCCTTTTCTTTTTCTTTCTGTATTCTCTCCTTTTCAAGTTTTTCCTTCAGCTCATACTTTGTAAGAACTTTGATATTTCACAAAGGACAAAGTAGCTCATCATTTGATCTATTGTTAAACCATTGCTCAATGCATTCAGAGTGAAATACATGGTTGCACTCAGGCATGATCCTGACTCTATAAGAATTTAGAACTAGAATTTATTACTTCTCGTTATCCTCAACCTTAAAGTCTTCAATACAAATAACTCACTGAGTCTGCTCGAATTTCACATTGATGTTTTTATACATTAGAGGAGGGTTTTCCTACCAAAATTAAAATTAAAACTCACCTCTAGCAATTTCTTGGCTCTAGATTCGTGTTCTTGCTGTCTGATGTTATTCATATGTTGAAGGTTCCTGACTCTCCTGTTATGCTCCTTAACCTTAAAACAAGCTTTCAACATTGTGATGAAGCATGTACAAATTATCAGACAGATGCATACTGAGAGCAAGATAGTCAGTAGTCCTAGTAATGCCCTATAAGTTAGTGCATCCAACCTCACGTTGACGTTTTGTTATCATACTCTTCCAGAGTGATACTATATTAATAGTCAGGATTTTATGAACTAGAATTGGTAAAATGTGTCGAACGTTTGGGATTATCTACAAAGAGGTTTAGGCTTACTCATAAACACTCACAACACCACCTATCTTTTGCATTGTCTCTACTTCAATAGTAACTGCATTATAGAAAGTAAAACTTGATGAAGTATTATTAAAATCTTCATCTTTAAAAGTAAGACTTTCGCCTTTAGATCCTCTTAATATAATTAGGAATTCTTGACTGTTATTATTACTCTTCTGAATAGTAACCTTATACACATATTTCCGGTGTGTGTCAAACTTCCAGTCTCAATATATGCCTGGTTCTATTGATCCTCCACTTTCTTTATGTCTTAAGGTAATTTTTGAAGAGGGGAAATTCTTTGTCTCCCCAAAGTAACCATGTCAATAGTTCCCGCTTAAAGCTTCAGTCTTTCATGTGGCGTATTGGCTCATAGTTTTCTCAGAACTTGCATAGGGAGAGCACACTCCGCTCGACCAAAGTCATAGATCTTCTTTCATACATGAGGTTCAATTTGTAAAAGTATTACATGCAGAAAGTTGTCTATGCACCTTTGGAGGTCTTGACCTAGCCAGAAATCCATTTTCATTATACACCATAATCTGACCCTGACACTTCTCAACAGCAAAGAGCACAGTAAAGCAAAAAGCAACCAATAGTTTCATACTTAGCATGAACTTTTGTAAATATATCAATTTTCAATATTATAACCAACCTCAGGGGTTTTGGGGTTTTGGGGTTTTGGGGTTTTGGGGTTTTGGGGTTTTGGGGTTTTGGGG